ACTGGGGTTAACAACATGTTTCCCTAAAGGAAACGGGGTGGGTGGTTGTTCAGAGACTTCACTGTTGAGTGCACAGTGTGGTATAAAACATAGGGAACTGTGGCCAAAGAAACCAGACTGGCACTTTGGAGACCTGGGTTTTATTCTCTGATTTCCTCAAGCAAGTCACTTCCCACCCATTCTCTGTCTCTTTCCCAGCATGACTGGAAGCTCTTGGGGTTGTGGACTTTCTCATTAGTTACCCAGTGCCCAACATAATGGGACCCCAAATTTTTATCACGGTCTTAGGCTAACCATGGCACACAAAGGACAAGAAACAGTATTTCTAAGGAAGGTGCTCTGCTGGGAGGTTGAATAGAAGAAAATGAAATGAGAACTCGAAGGTATCCCAACTACCACCAGTTCAGAGCCCAAAGAAAAAAAAAAAACAACAAGATTAAGCCAAGCACCTCTGGCCAGTCTCCTTCCTTTAACTGCAAAGAAAAGCAATCTTTATGAAGTGATAAAGCCATCCAAGAATGGCTGGAGTTGTTTCTTTTAAACCAACCAGAGAGAACAGATGGTCTCCTCATACTGTCACAAAGGTCAAAATTAGCCACCCCTAAGACTAGCAGGTTCTTGAAATGCTCAAGTGCTTGTGTCTGGTCATTATGACTAATCCACTCTCCAGAACAAGAAAGGTCAAATGAAGAACACCCCTCCAAATACTGCAACAACTCCTAGCCATGGCTGATGTGTAATGCACTCAGACATGGTGTCAACAGCTGCTCCTAAAACCCAATGAGTCAGCCTTTCAAAGAGCTTGTCAGTTCTCACTGTTAGAGCTTTTATACAGATTATATTTACTCCCCAATGTTTAAAAATATCCTTCTTAAACCGTGACAATATAAAATGTTTTCCTTACAGAATTTGTCCTTTTTCCCCAGACAGCTGCCCAAGAATGTCTCATGTATTTATTTGGGAACAAAACTTCCTAGCTCTTCTTTCACTTTCCTCTTCACGTGTTGACAGCTAAACCAAAGGCAGGCCTCTGTTTCTGAAGTCATGTACAAATGAAGACTTTCTGGTCCCTTTCACAACTTTTACCTGCAAACTACAGTCAGCCTTCCAGAGTACCGTGAGGTTAAGTGTTCTACTCAACAGATAGGGTACAGAGACATTGGGTGACTTGCCTTTGGTCCTACAACAGGCATGCAGGCACAAATCCCTTATCTATCCCCTACTCTAATCACCAATCTCCCTTGGATGCTGTCATTTAAATAAAAAGGCCTATTGAAAATGACAGGTGAAGAACGCAGTCCAGGCATGAAATGCACTCTAAAGTATATTAATAGAAGGTTGCCAGACAAAACGGCACAAGGCATTTGATCGCATCATCTTAGGCTTGTTGTTCATGCTCCTTTGCATCTGGCTGGGTGATTTCTGCCAGATTCTCGGCTGGAGGAGCAGGCTAGGATTTGCCTGCTTTCCCTAACCCGTGCCGGGCTCAGCTGCAATCATGCAGAGCACTGAAAGAAATCCCTTTGAGTCGGGATTCATTCCGAACATGTAAAACCCAGACAAATGACTGCTTCTCCAAAGTGAATCCCATTTCACAGCAAGTAGGTTATTAGTGTGGAACTCCATACAAGTAGCCTGCATTCAAAAGCCCTCTGCATTATTAACAGAAGATGAGCTTTTGACATCAAAGGAGAACCATTATGTATGCTAAACGGTGGCAAAAATTGTACCCGCACTTCAAACCTTTTCAGTTCTTTGTCCCTTGTAAATCAATCAAGGTTGACAGATGCTTTAAGGAGAGTAATCTTTTCAATGATACAGTCAATGGATAACATAATGGAACATTGTCTCTGTGCTGTGTGAAGACATGGAGCTAGTCAATTATGGACAACACTTCATGCAGCCGCCAGTTTTCACTTGAAGTGCTGCTGTTGAAGTATTATAATCCCAACAAATGGCCGCAGCAGCATACAATGTAAATGAGACCTCCTGAAGCTTTGGAAAATTAATTAGTAACAACAGTGGTCCATTCCCACACTTTCAAACACCAGCCTGGTAATGTTAACGATGCACTACCCCCCTTCCCTTTGAGCAGTCAGTAGGGTGTATTTACATACACTATTTTTAATCTTCAACACTTTTTTTTCCCCTTTTTAAATGCAGGAAGCTCTGGATTCCTTTCCTCTCTTGTGAGCAGCAAACTTCACCCCTGATATTTCCAACCAGTCACATAACCTATATGGCTGGAACTGAAAACGAGAACAGAGACTTTCCCACTTGGAGACAGCAGTAATATTCACTCCTCTTGCTTCAAACGCATCAGACACTTGGTGGCTGTCTCCTTTTCCAACACTTCTGTCCCCTCAGCTGCCCTGAGAAGAATGGCTTGGATGGATGGCAGAGGAAAAGCTTCCAGTCTGAAGAGACCAGTAGGATGTGAATTGAAAGCCCAGTGTACTGAGTGCAAGCAGCACCTAGGTCAAACTGTGGTGCACTGGATGCCAACATATGTATCTGATTGCCAGCTTCCACAGAAAGGAGATTGAGAGTCAAAGGGGAGAGACTGCCCTGTTTATTTAGCTATTGGCTCCTATTTCCTATGTCATTTTCTCAAAGACTTTCCCTTTGTCAGCTGAGGCTTGTGCTAAGAGGAACACTTAATCTCCCCACAGGAAGAGAGAGAAATCCCACACTTAAGCACAAGATTTCTAAACTCCTATGTTTCATTGCTATGATCTGTGTATGCCCCCTTATCTAGAATGTGTTTTTGAAACAACCAAGTGCAGATAAGAAAATCACTGAGGACATCTCGAGCAAGAACAGCCTGTTCCTTGAACCCAGCTCCCTCTTCCCCAGGCTCCAAGAAGCTGGGAACAGATGCAGCTGCTGTCCCTCCTCATTTAGTATGGATTTGGTCTTCTGGACTCTGGACAGTTTTCTGAGAAGCCCTTGCAGTGGTTGACCACAGAAAACTTCACACTGCTGCAGTCCCCCGAACCCTCAAAACTTACAGACAATGGTTAAACAAAACTGACAATGGTTAAACAATCCTATGAGGATTCCTTCCTAGAGGAAGTAACAGCACCACATCCCCTCCCATGCATTACCAGGCCAGCTGTCACTGCTGATCCCAAGAAGAAAAGGGAAATGTTTTGTCTACCAGAAGTCCCCCTCCTGGGAATAGAAAAGGCAGAGGAAGGATATCTTCTGCCTAGCTTTAGAGAAGTCAGAGACTGATCCAAACTTTTTCCCACTCTTGCATAAAACAAACTACCACAGAATAGAGAAATGGACAGGAATCGGGAGGTTTTGATTCCTCCTTTTTGCTGGAACAGATCTGTCAAGAAAACAGTGGCACAACTCTATTTCCGTACTCACTTCTCACTCAAACTCCACAGTGCAATATGCCAAAAGTGAGGCAAAAAAAATCTCTACTGCATCTTGATGAGAAAGTTTTAGGCTAGCATTCTTGCCATGATGAAAATGGCCTTTTTTCCAATTACAGTTTCTTTTGCGGTGCAGACTTGTCTGCTTTTCTATCTGTTTTTTAGATTTTGTTTCTCTAGAGCTAAACAGGTGGAATGTTGCAGGGTCCCTGTCCTCCTCCACCCACCAGCTCTGCCACAAACTGGTTGGGACGGCACTGCAGAAGAGGCAGGTACCATGCCCCAGCTGTCCCCATCTCTGAGAGGAGACCCAGGTTTATCTCTCAGTACCAGGAGGATGAAGTATGAGCAAAAAGGGGACAGCAGAGACTGGGAAAACATATGGTGGGTAACAAAGAGGGTTAAGAACATAACAGACGTAAAATCAGGGCCCAGACAGTAGGTTCTTTGCTCTTCTCTGCTTGGCGCAGGATTCCAAAATCATTTTTAATTGAGCCTGTTTCCATTATATAGCTGCCAAATGTCATCCACTGCATTTCCTCCTCACAGCTCATGGCTGAAAGTTCCCACTGCCTTGGCCGAGGTGCATTTCTGAATATTCCTTATCCCAGTCAAAGCAAAATGGGACACCAAACACCTCTTACTTGAAAGACTGTCTACTTAAGCAAACCTGGAGCGCATAGATTGAAACAGAGCAAGGGATAGCTGTATAGAAGTTGCTTATCTGGCAGCTCCACAGGTGTGTAAGGTGGGCCTGGAGAAGCAGACAAGCAGTTGCAGGCAGGCTTGGGCATTGTGTGTTCTGCTTGCGTACCTTTCAAGGAAAACTGGTGCACAAAAGAGGCTACGGACAGGGCCAGGGTGTCATACTTGGACACAAAGTTGCAACACACTGGACCAGAGTTTTAAATCTACTGACTTCTGCAGAGCTACTTCAGCCAATGTGCACTAAGGATCTGTTCTACTCTATCTCAAACTTGCTCTAAAACCATATGCCCCTTTCCAACTCATTTATAGGAGTTTACCATTTATTTCCAATATTCAGAGATACCTACACACCTACTTTCTTCCAAGTTACAAGACATGTATTGAGCAATCGCAGATTTTCTTGCAGAAAAGTTTTTCATGGTAATATCAAAGAATTTCAAAAGCATACATGGCCTTTGTCACAACTTCCAACAGAAAATTATCTAACCTTTTCTTTCAAGTTTATTATTTTTACTTCTATTTGCCATTATACTATTATTTAAAGTGTACAAATAAAAAAAATTGCCAATATAATATAAAAAATGAAACAATAAAGCTGATCCATTTGATCAAAAGACAAAAGATCTTCTGATAAAAACTAAGTGTTCCAATAATTCAGAACCCAAAGTTTTAATATGGAAGATGAAGAACCTGCTTCTGTTCATGTGTCTTATGATAATACATAAGATCACAACCTACCACTTTTGGATAAGGTAAGTATGAGAGGGAAGATGGTAGCTAATAATGACAAAAATTTTAAGTAGCCTTCTATTCATATTAAAATAAAATTCACACAATCCAATTAAGCCAGAGATTTATCACTAAAAAATAAACTAGGAAAATTTAATTAAGAGAAACATGGCTTACATAAGAGAAGTCTTCAGCATTCTGACAGAGTAGCTTGGGAAAAACAGCCTGTCGTTGAAATCTTTCCTCGTCTTCAAAGATGTTCCCATACATGAAGCCATTCATCATGGTGGAGTGGGCATGGATGTCAATATAGAACTCCAGGTTAATCTTCTGTTGACAGAAAACAACAACAACAAAACATTCAGCATGAGATAAATCATAACTGTGTTATGTAGGTGAAGCCTCCCATAAATCCAATACTGCCATCCTTGAATCTAACTGTGGTGCCAGTGTCAGAGCGCCATGTTAACGACATTGCTTTGATGCATCCAACCATTCATGCCTCTTTGTGGGTGCATGTGAGATGCAACACAGGACCATGATAGACATTTCTTTGCCTCTTCTGAGAAGGCTGGAACATTTATGCAGCACAGGTCACTGTGCAAAATAGAGACAAAGCATTATCTTTCACTTACTGCCACTGATAAAAATATACGCCTTCCAGTTCTAGAGCATGATTGTTCAGGCATGGCTTTGCTATCTCTGCACAGTTCCGCATCGCAATATGCAGATGTACCCTTCTGCCTGGAAAGACAAGCTCAAAATCATGTAAAAAACCCTTCAGTATTTCCTGTGCAGTTTATTTTGGTTTATAAAGAGAAATACTGCAGATGTTTTTGTCTTACTCTGCTTTGCAGTAGCAATTCAACAGAACAACTCCAAAAAGCAAGTCCCTTGAGTGCTCTCTGCTTGTAGCTTTCCACATGATTCTGCGTCAACTCTTGCTTCAAAAGAAAACACCAGGACCCCCTAACACAGAAGTACCGGCTCTCCCCATACCCTTCCTTGGATTGACAATTCAGTATCAGAAGGCCCTGTAAGAAAACACTGCTCAAGTCTCCAGTCCAGGGACACATCTTTTTCCTCACATTACATAAAAGTGATACTACTTCCCCTGCCATCAACAGCAAAGAGTGAATGTTCACCTTGATCACCGTGTACAGTGCCATTGACAGCAGTGAGAAGGCTGTAATCCAGTACATCCAGTACTAAAAAGTGCTACCAGAGAAGATGACACTGGATTACCCAGAGTTTTCCCAAACTCTTGCAACTTCTGGTCGTGAACAAACGGTGCTCTGTGACTAGACAGTGACAAACACACCCCTGGCACCTGGCCACCATGGGGCCAGTAAGAACCTTCCTTGTGACCAGAGGGTTACAGTTCAGATCTCCGTGGCCCAACACGGGGATAGAGAAGAGCTTTGTTAGCAGGACGGGGATTATGATGCTTAGCCCTGTACCCCTCGGTGGCAAGTAGGGACCCTGACCAGTAAAATACAACTTGTAGCTCTCCGGCCACATGTCTCATCTGCACACAAAGCTTGCTGAGGCTACTGGAGAATACTGAGCTATGAGACAGTCCAATGTAATACAAACACAGTTTGTATTATGCAGTTCATGTGACAGCAGTGTCAGCTCTTCTAGAGAGTCTCTGATGGGGAGAAAACATCATTCGGTATGTGAAACTAATATGATACAGATTTACTTTCCCTTGGCAGAAAACCAATGTACAATACACGGTGACTGTTTAGTTTAATTAAACAGCCTAGAGAGAGTAATACTGTATCTTATTAAGCCTCCCTATGTTAAAATGTTAGCTAATGCAATATCAATATCTGACCATGCTTCATAGGAAAAGGAACATTTGATTTTATTTGACTCTAATACAATAAATTGTTTGCTCCTGCCAGAACATTATGCTGTGCTATGGAGGACCAACACTGCAATAAAGCACACATCTGCTATTCAGAGATATAGCACTGGGGAGAAAGATTAGCATTGACAGGATGAAATACCACATAGGATTTTCTTCCTCTCCAAGCATACAGAAATTAAACCCAAGATTGAGTAATATTATTTTTCATAAGATAATTTCCCCATCAGAAACAGAATTTGATGAGATCAGATGCACACTGGCATATCACCATAAAACAGAACATGTTGTAAAGTCTCAAAGCAGTGATTTGATGATGAAGTAAGGAGATAATCTAGTTAAAATGGATATTTGCAAAGCATGGATGTCCTTCACATAGAAGTCAGTGACCTAAGTCATACTTATTTTAGAACAACTAGACAGAATTCTTTATAGGGACATATTTACTAATATAAAGTAATTGAGAAGCACAGTGAGATATGTAACAATACACTAGTATGATTTGTGTCTTAACACAAATAAAGGTGTTGGCATAAACTTTATGAGTTGTTCTGTGTCATACTATATTTATTCATCCATAGTTATCAAATTGTTTCCAAAAGAAGGTGTCTACAAACAGGGACACAGATGCACAGATTACTAAGATAACTTTCCATAGGCTATCCAGCAAGAAATTCACCTGCAGAACATGGGTGACCTGAGCCTCAGCTTACTATTCAGTTGATGAAGTCAACCAGTGTAACACAGGATCACTAGAGAATATTTTCTAAACTCTCCTAGGATTCTCGCTAAATAAATTGCTGATAAAAGTGTTCCAGAGAATATTAGAGAATCTCTTGGGATACTGAAATTTCTTTCAAGATCTTACTTGATTATCAAAACCATTTTCAAATAGTCTGGTTACAATGGTTGTTTGTGAGGGAACACTGTCCTTCACAGTTATTACCTTCATCTAAAGATTAAGCTTCCAGATCACTTATTTGGAAACCATGACATTCAACAGATAGCTCATCACACAGACAAGTGTTTAAAAACATTTATCCAGTCATTCATTACAACGTATTTCAGAAGTCATTTCCTGAGGCAGCCCACAATAAGTATTCAATTGTTTTTTCTGGTCTTTGTTCCTTACCCTCCTACTGAACATATAAAAAACTCTATTTCATATATTCCTGACCGCTAAATATAGTCCAAATTTGCAATTGTCTGTTCTATTCAGTAAGTTGTTAAACATTTCTAGAGTAATTCCCAGTTAGATGTACTACTCCCAGACACTGCTATATGCGAGCAGAACAGTATTTCAGAGTTTCACATTTCTTCTCATCACATTCATTATTTTATCAAAGGGAAACATCTTGGGCATTGTCCCTTACAGAACAAAATAATTCAGTGCATTGTTAATACAACACATGAGTTCCTAATGGAAAAAATTCTCTTTATTCACAGATGCAAAGATATTGTGGCCTTAATATGGACAATAACAGCCCAGTCACTGGGACATTAAACTCAAAGTTTGCCACCTTGTGCCCCAAGTAGTAGACAAAGTAGTAGACAATTTGTTTGCAGACAAGTTTCACAAAAAGAAGATATGTTCCTGAACGATAATGGTATTTCTTCTCTCTCTTTAGAGTCATACATATTCATAAGTGCTTTCCATGTAGGAACTGTTTCACCCACTGCCACCCTACAAATTTAAGCTAGGGAATAAAGTTCCATATTTCAGTTGAGGTTCTCTGGAAGATTTTGACATAATTACTGATCTCCTGCAATTTAGGCAGGATCACAGAATTAACTTTTTATTAAATATATAATGTCACCTACTGATGGGAATTTCAGAAAAATCAGCAGAGAGCTGACCTTCTGAAATTGTTTCTCTTTGAGATAGGGAGAATTTTAATGGGAGAATGAAGTTAATAAATGTATGCGTGCATTTACATGAGCACATACAAGCACACTTAAAACATAACCCAATCCTATCTACTGTTAAACCACAGGGGTATCTGTCAGTATCTACACAGCAGAACCCACCCCAGTTATGGTTTCTAATGCAGTAGCATCTACAGGTGAGAATGGGAATAAAGTTAGAGGTGGCTCTAAGTCTCATAGTCACATTTGTTTCAGCCTTTAAGCAGAAAAAAATGAATAACCAGGCTCAAACATCTCTGGATGCCATAGCTGCCTTCTGAGAGACTTACAAGTTACGTCCTACAATATGATATTAAACTCATCATTTTCTGCTTTAGAGGTGGAATGCAAAATGATTCAGATGCCTTATAAAAATCATCATGCAATTTAATTCCCTCAAGTGTCTTTTATTTGTGCTTACAAGCAGCAGCAGAGATTTTCTCTCTTACACTCTCTTTCTTAAGTAAAGCTGTAATTACCTTGATGACCCAGCTTACAGAGTTGGAGAAAACAAAGGCAGACTTGGTCTTTCTTTTCTCTGTGTGTCAAAACAGAAATCACTCACTAGACTGACAGAGACAGTGATGGAACCCCACTTCCTAGAAAACAACAGTTGACATTCTCTCCCTTGAAAAGAATGGTCTTTGCCTCTCCTTGCCACTTACTACATAAAACCAGAATAAATAAATAAGCAAATGAATTTCTGCTCTAAAGTTCATTTGAATCCCTGCCTTTGTGACACACAGTTTCCACTGTTCTCCTGAGTCAGTCTAAAGTTTCTGGCAGCTTGAGAAATATGCATATAAATTAGGGAGGAGAAAAAATGAAAGAAATCACGGATAAAGAATAAGAGCATGTCAAGATATGAAATAGTCAAAGTAACACAGAAGCTGGAAACTGGTTCATGATGCCATGTAAAGTTTTGAGAAAATATATTCTCACTTGTCTGCATTTTTGTTTCATTAGCTGAATGCCTTTGGAAGATCAGTAATTAAAGAGCAAAAGGAAAGAATGATGTTAACAGCTAATGCTGCTATGACCAAAGTTAGATTTTGAACAGTGCAATTATGATTCTTAAGGAAACAGAGATTTTAAAAAAAAAAAAAAAATCAATAAATGCAGTAATAAAAGGATAAATGTGCATTGAACCCAGAACATGAGCCACTAGAGAGACAAGTGATGCAGGAAGAAGCCAGCTCTGTCCACCAGCTGTCACTTCAATATGGATTTTATTAATTCTTGGGCATAGCAATTGGTTTAGAGAGAAAGCATCCAAAAGCCTTCTTCACTCCAATATTTCATAAAGGGGATGGGAAAAACTCCTTGCAATTTTTTATACAAGTCACTAAACCCATGGCTTGTCATTAGTGGCAGAGAACATAACAGGCTCCAGGCAGGCTGCAGTCTTACTGCTAAGCCACTCTTTGAAGCAAATGGACATACAATGGTTGGTGCAGCATAAGGAGTTTGCCCCTTTTGGTTCAGAAAAGATTCAGAATTTCCCAGAAGACTGGGTCTTTGATGCTTCCTAAGGTCCAGAATCTCTCAAAAG